CCGTTCTGATGTACTGGTGGTGTGTTAATTTTGCATCTAGAACGGCCCGTTTCAGATGCAAAATTAACACACCAATAGTGCACCCAGAACGGGCCGTTCTGGTTCTAGGTTTTTTCAAACCATTTGGCATCCACGTAGCATCCACCTATGCATCTACGTGGCATCCACTTGGCTAACAGTTAACACCGTTTAAATAATTTAGACGGAAGTCCTACATTGAAACCAATTAATTTATTAAGGACCAAATTGAGACCAAAAATAAAAGTGGGACTAAATTGAAACAAACAATTATTATAAGGGACCAAAATAGGTTTTTAGCCTTTATTTTAAAATAATGCTTGGTGGAACAAGTTGTAGAATGTTATAATTATTCTAAGTTGTTTCATGTTGTTAAGTTAAGCTGCTAATTAGTGTTAAGAGTTTATGGGGTCTATAGATTTCTTAGGAGTTTCAATGATATTGAAGGTTTCTCTAGGTAGAGAGTTAGTTTGACTCTAAGGAGAAGAGTATATAAGATTTCTATTTTGAACAAAGCCTCATAAACTCTTTTCCTCAACATTCTAAAGAGAGGATTCTAGAGAGAGGTGCTTTGGTCCGTGGGTTTCCTTTAACTCCAAATCTTCTTCTCTTTCTTTCCTAATCCTTATTAATGTTGTGTTGTTGTTGGATTCAGGTCAATAGTTGTTGAGATTAGTTAGGTGAGTTGCAAAGTCGAGAGTTCTCTTCTTCTTCCTCAATTAGCTTTGGTTCTAAGGTAAGGGAAGTTGGACTTATGTTTTCTTTGTTGTATGTTGGATTTGTTGGATGACTATGGTGTTGAACATTATTTGGATTTTGAACTACTTTGGCTTAGTTGATTGAAATAGTGAAGAGCGTATGGAGGTTGAGGTTTGAGGTTCATGAGAATGAATATGATGAATTGTTATGTGTTGTTGTTGTTACATGTTGGTTTTTGAGTTGGTTTTGATTCACTTGTGTTGCGTATAGTCAATATTTCATGTTGCATGTGTTGGATTCTTGTTGCATTTCAGGTTTTGGGCCAAAATCAGATTCTGCATATGCAAAATTTTGATATTGTCCTAGGCATGCCTTCATGGCATCAGGCATCATTATAGTTTGAGGCACTCTATCTTAATCATGTCGAGCACAGGATCAATGACACTGTCTCAATCACATCGAGCATAGGACCAGTGACACCGAGTGTGAGGAGAGAGACTTGTCTCATATTGGAGCGATGTCAAGCATGGTCTGAATGGCGTCAGGAGTGAGAATGTTGGCAGGTATCTAACTTGGTGATGTTGGGCTCAAAGGTAAGTGGCATCCAACGTGGCCAAGCTAGAGCTATCTGCCTGGGTGACATTAAGCACCGGTATGGTGATGTCAAACATGAATCAGACTAAGACTCTATGCCTGAGATGGGGTTGGGTGTGGTGTTTTACCATGCTAGGTGTGAGGTCTCAAGGGACTCTATCTTAGCCACATTGGGCACAAGTTGAGTAGCACCGAACAAGGGTGAGGTAGAGAATTCCCTTCTTGGATGGCGTAAGGTGTTGGGTGTGTAGTGTCAAACGTTGGTGGCTGAAAAAATTTTATTGAATTATGTGATGAATTGTTAATTGAATTGCGTGTTGACTAAGTAAGGATGAATGAGTTGCATGGATATGGTTGTATAAGTTGATTTCGTTGTGAGTTGTTAGTTGAAAGTTGAAATGAGTTGTGACTTATGTAGTTGAGTAGATGTATTGATTATTGTTATATGCATGATGTTATTGCGTTGATGAGATGATGAATGTTGAGAATATTTTAGGCATTTAGGCATTGTGTTGTTGAGCTATGATGACCAACTTAGGATTAGAGGAGAGATTTTCGAAAGTTGCATATCTCATTGTGTGAATATTGTGTTGTGGTGCTTCGAGGGCCCAATTTGTTGAAAATCTTTCTTGGAAAATTGACCCTTGAAGTGGATAGCCGTGTTGAGTCTTCTCTAGGACTTGGTTGGTACCATATATGGACAAGGTCGATGTACACGTGTATAAAGTGATCACTGTAGACACCCAATTTCGTCTGGGAGGTACAAAACAACAATATAGGACGTCAGGGACCCAAAAGACAAATTAGGGATTTTTTAGGGGCCCGGAACGGGCCGTTCCGAATTCAGAACGGGTTGTTCTGGTTCTCCCGGAACGGGCCGTTCCGATTTCAGAACGGGCCGTTCTGGTTACCCCGGAACGGGCCGTTCTGAATCCAGAACGGGCCGTTCTGGGGTACAAAATTTAGGCACAACGGCCATATCCA